GCAATGGAGAGTTAACAGTTCATGATTCTAGAAAAGCTATCCTTACAGAATATCCCCTTAAATTTCAAAGAATATTTGAATTTAAAGACATTTTCATCCTTTTTTCCTATGATAAGCTCAAACCCATGATATATGAGTTAAAAATTAATTTTAATTAACCATTAACATGATTTTTAACAGTAACTAAGTTAAAACAATAATTAATGCTCTTCTGAAAAAAATCATCCGTTTTGTTGATATCAGTTATGTTCTACACCAGATTCTAACTTATAATCACCATGAAACGTAATGAATTGAAAAATGACACGAAAAATGCTAAGTCTTAGCTAAACAAACCGATCCCGACCCAGCCTACAGCGTTCAAACATATGGAACGAATTGGACAGGCTTTCCCAAACCATTGAAGCCTAGAAGCTCTTATATTTTACAGAATGAATGGTAGATTGGGCGATAAAAGACGTTCCTGTTCTATCAAAAGAATTCGAAGTCCGTCAGATAGATCGACTTACGTTTTATGACGTAAGAAGAGGGATAGACGATTTAAAGGACTTAACATATTCGGTAACCCTTGCTGTTAAGAGATGAATGTAAAATTACATGCATTTGATCTTGTCTGCTGTTTATTATTGATAGAAAAAAATAAAATTTCTTTGGACAAAAAGTACTATGCATTTTAAATTATGACTGATCGTAATTGTTTAATGCGTTGTAAGATTATTTTAAGTTCATTTTATTATATTAAATAAAGCAACGAGTATATTTTCAATTTTATATGTACAACCACCTTTCCAGGAGAAACAAGAGTGACATTTATTCAACGATCCATTTCAATCTATTTCTATTTTAGGTGAAAAGTCAAGAAAACGACCAATGGCAAGATCATATGGAGATAACGAACAGTATTTAGATCTAAAGTCCATAAACAATACGAAATAGGAGCAGAGCAAACACGGGCCTCCAAAAAATCAGAGGTATGATCAGATGCCATGGAGGAGTGAACTTCCCCTGCCGACCGATCACTCCCGCCGTATGCTCCTTTTCATGATCGGGAAATAATGGAAAAATACATCGTCAATTCAGTGTATAAATAATGGACTAACAATTAGTATGAAAAACATCAGCCAGCAATTGACTCAATGATAAATTGTATTTACTGACAAGGTCATTATATCGACCAGAGAACTTATAAAATGATGACTTTCATCGAGACTACTGATATTCTTGTTTCATCAACTTGTTTGTCAATGTTACCTAGAAATTGTTCCTACGTAGAGCATGCTCTTTCAAACCAATTGAGATATATAAACTCCGTATGCAGGTGATGCCAAGATGGTTTGAGGCCCATATAAGGTGATTTTTTCTGCTGCTCAAGGGCGTATGAAACACAAATGCAACACATGGTACATGTAAGCAATGTCATGATTCTTTTTTTTTAATGTTTTTTTTTGTTTTTATGTTTTTTTTTTGTTATAGATGACCATCATTATTCCATCTGACGGGGCCGACTGGGAATTCCACTGGGTACTAGTAATCATAGTAAAGCAAATAAAGAATATTTACTGTTTTAAAGTAGTTTTTTTTTTTTATAACAAAATTAACAAAAATATAACAAAATTAACTGAGTTTTAAAACGATTTTCAACTGAAAGGTTGAGTAACATCGTAATAGCGAGCACGAGCGTCACATGACGTTGTATGCATGTTGCTTTACAAAACCGAAGCCTGAGCAGGGCTGATTTTAATGAATAACCGTTTTATTGACTATTTTTCTTCAACAAACAACAACCCTAACCCAAACCCTAACCCTGTCGCGAAGCGACGCTCGTAACTGCGAGCTCTAACGACAACGCCTGGGCGAAGAGAAAATTCAGACTACTGGACATTCATTCCATAGTATTTTTTCCGCAGTAATTTTCACCCACAATGCATCGCTTCGTACACAAACGCTTAAGCCACGTTCTCGCGAGAATAACGACAAAAGTTAAAAGAAAAATAAATTTGCCTTGATATAATGAATTTACCTTTTCATTGCAGAAAAATAGTCATAAGCCCTGTTCAGGCTTCGGTTTGGTAAAGCAACATGCAAACGACGTCAAGTGACGACAGTCTTATATGCATCGAATGTCACGTGCGTTTTGTCGAGTCCGATCTAAATGAAAACTGGATAAGTATAGATGTCTGCGCTCTCCCTAACGGTCGCACTGTCAACATATTAGCGAACGCAGAGAGCGTCGAAGCGATACTCTTCACTGCCACAATCATTCGATACATTTTTTTTGGCAGTAATTTGGACCCACAATGCATCGCTTCGTACACAAAAGCTGAAGCAACATTCTCGCGAGAATAAGATCAAAAGTTAAACAAATAATGTGATTTAACGAATTTGTTGCAGAAAAATAGTCAATAAAACGGTTATTCATTAAAATCAGCCCTTCTCAGGCTTCGGTTTTGTAAAGCAACATGCATACGACTTCAGAGTCTTATACGCACCAAATGTCACGTGCGGTTTGACGAGCCCGATCAAAATGAAAACTGGATAAGTATCTGCTCTCGCCCTAACGGTCGCACCGTCAACATAGTGTTTTTGACGTTTGGATAAACTGAAGCCCATTAAGACTGGATAATAACAAGAGGCCCACGGGCCTTATAGGTCACCTGAGTATCATGTAACAACTTTCCAGCGATTGTATTTGGTTCGTGTTTTAATCCAAAAGCCATGAAATTCACAAATGTTGAAAGAGGCACCATTGCTTATCAAAGGGCAGATTTCAAAGCATTAATTTATTTTTAGTCAAAGTACCCCCCTGGTACCCCTGACCCAGCGGCCCTGAAATTATCTATTTTGAAAGAGGCCCCTTTCTTCATTATAAGGCCAGCATTTTTTTATGTTTAGGTTTAGTTATGAACATGAGAATAAAAAAGTCCCGAAGGAGAAGGAAATAAAAAAAAATTTGATAAATCAATTATTAACATTTGTACATTCTTTTTTTTATGCTATCCTATTAGGCTCCTTACCACTGAACACATAATGCTTACAAATAGGAAAGTAGAACATTTAATTGCTTATTTCATCATCTGCCAGTTTGGGCAAGTTATATAAATTTTGTGATGTTGATCAAAATATATTTTAAATAATCAATTCTTTAAAAGTCTTTCAATATATCTTCATTTTTTTTAATATGTGTTAGGTGAATGTGTAGACATTGTTCTAAAATTTACTTGATGCCTAAAATTATAATTCCTATCATAAAACAGACAGAGAGTATTGGGGAGTAGAGTGAACATTTTTTCAATTAAGTGTAAAATAATTTTTCTGGCTGATACAAATGATACTACATGCCTGTATATATTTGTATATTCTTGCCTTTTAATAGTTGAATTATTTTATATTTCTTCAGGTTATTGTTTATTTCTTCCTCAAATGGACTTAACTTCTCCCATAGTTTTATTCATTACATCTGATGCATAAGCAACCCTTTTCTGAAGAATGATGTTTAGACTGTAAGCTATAACAGAGACCTAAACAATGTCGCTGGCAATATGCAATAGCTACCACGGGCAGTTTAAAACCTGGGGGAGGAAAATAATTTACAGACAGATACTTTTGAAACGAATACATAATTATCTCACCAGCATGTCATTGTGCAACAAAGTCATCAGCATTTTATTTGTCCTTTGAACGGGTGAAACGTTTTGAATGGCACTCTTATCGATGAATTTTACACTAAACCAAGCTATCTTCTCAGATCTAGCTTTATTTACCCGCCGTTTCATCGTAAAACCGGAAGTGCGAGTTCGTAAATTTGAAATCTCGATCCCGACTCAAATTTGACATCGGAAAGAAAAAAATTAAAAACCTTGAGCGGAGGGTTTGTAAAACTGAAAATAAAGTAAATCCTGGCCTTAAATATTTAATTAGATCATTAGCATATTAACCAGGAGCAAAGGATAAGCTGTTCAAAGAATTCATGCATTTCACTATATAATCAATAGAGTCCCGCCCTAACACCAGAACCCCTGACCCTGGGGCCATAAAATTCACAATTTTGGTAGAGGCACTCTTGCTCATCATAACTATGTACTTAGTTGGTTTATTTAATACCTAGGAGCAGAGAAGAAGATTTTTAAAGAAATAATGCATTTTCACTACGTACTTATTTAGCCCCGCCCTAGCACTAGAACCCCTGACCCCAGGGCCATGAATTTCACAATTTTGGTAGAGGACTCATTGCTGATTACAATCATGCAAACAGTTTGACTGCTTGATGTCCAGGAGTAAAGAAGAAGATTTTTAAAGATTGCATTAATTTTAGTGGTTTTGGCCCCACCCCTCAGGCCCCAGGGGGGCAGGGACCATGAAATTCACAATTTTTGTTCCCCTTCACCCACAGATGCTGTATACAAAATTTGGTTGAATTTGGTTTAGCGGTTTCAGAGAAGAAGCTGAAAATGTTCAAATGTTAACACACGACGAACGACGGACGCCGACGGACAAACACGGATGGCAATAGGTCACCTGAGTGACTCAGGTGACCTAAAAATGTTATAAAAGATAAAGTGTCTGGAAATTTGAGAATCTCTCAGCCATTAATTTTGATCATTTTTTGTAGAAATCCATTGTATCTGTCAAAGTTTGTAATACTTCACAAAAATAGGGAAGTTTCTCACATTAATTTTGACATTTTGAGAGTTTGTTCCCTCTGGAAACAAGACGTTAGCATTTTTTTTCTTACATAAAATTAATAAACAATATAGTATTACTCATCAAGTTATATAATTTGAGCAAAAAGTCTTTTGTTATATTTTTAACAAGAGGCCCAGGGGCCACAGCGCTCACCTGAGCACATCAGGCTTGAATTTACTCCCCCCCCCCTTCCAGGCGATCATCATTTGAACAAACTAGAATCTACACTACCTGAGGATGATTCCATATAAATACCCCGGGTATCACTAATCATAGCTTTGAAGTACTTGAAAAGAAGAATTTAAAAGGTTTCCCTA